GCTTCTAAGGAGCATTCTGGCTGTGCTTCTTCCAAGACAGATTTGTTCGTTCTTTTGGCAGCTCATGGCATAGTCAACATTCTTTGCCAACACCATAACTCAAAGGCATCCCTTCTTCTTTGGTCTTCCTTATTCATTGCCCAGCTTTCACACGCATATAAGGCGATTGAAAACACCATGGCTTGGGCAGGCGCACCTTAGTCTTTAAAGTGACTTCTTTGCTTTTTAACACTTTAAACATCTATATCTATACATATGGTTAATAAAATTAGGTTAATAAAAAATTATATATATATATATAATATATAATATAATATATATATATATATTGCCAGCTGCTGTTGAATCAATTCTGACTCATGGTGATGCCATGTGTGTCAAAGTAGAACTGTGGTCCCTGGGGTTTTCAGTGGCTGATATTTTGAAAGTAGATTGTCAGGCTTTTCTTCCAAGGTGCCTCTGGGTTGACTCGCACCTCCAACCTTTCAGATGGCAGCCGAGAGCATTAACCATCCGCATCACCCAGGGACTCTGTCTATATATACGAAAAGTTGAAGCACATACATATATGGGTCATGTTACTTGTCTGGCCTATGGGCACTGTTTAAAACACTTATGGATTCTTTGATTGCTTATAGTAAAACAGTCCCCCCAGGGATCTATGACCTCAAAACTGGGATTCCAGAATTAGAATAGATTCTTCAGTAAAAGTATTGGTAGTGCCTAGTTGTTTTAATGGAAAGTAACATCAGGCTCCTAATTGGAAACTGAATCTTTCATTTGCCGGAGAGATGAGTTTGGCAGGACCTTTTCTTCCGGCTTTCACCTTCCACAGGATGAAAATAATGAAGCCATGGGCTTGATTTAATGTTGAGATAATTTGCGAATTATGACAATATCTTCTTTCTCTCTTTTGTTCTCTGCAGTTCGTGGTTTTAAAGGAACACCAAGACCTCAAGTGTGGGAGTCAGCCTGTGGCCCTGAAGGATGTTCAGGCAGCAGATGTTGGTCAGCTTTCTTCCCTGGAACCAGGTGAAGGGTTACCTTTACCTGGGTCCTGAATATTTTCCAGTGAATGGTCTCATCTAACCACTGAAAAAACAAACCAGTTGCCGTTGAGTCAGCCCGGACTCATGGTGATCTCATTACTGTCAGAGTAGAAGTGTTTTTCAATAGGGTTTTCAATAGCTGATTTTTGGGAAGTGGATCAACAAACTTTCTTCTGGGACCCCTCTGGGTGGACTCAAACCTCCACCTTTCAGTTAGCTGAGCGGTTTAACTGTTTGCACCACTCAGGGACTCCTAACCACAGAAACAATAAGTTAAATTGTATAATCTATGTGAGCAGCTGGGCTGTATTGGAATGACATGAAGCTTTAGAGAAATGAATTTGGACTGAATTTGTATCTTATGTGAGGTCACCATGTTTACTCAAAAGTCTGGTCCCTTAGCAGTCTGCTAGATCAATTTGAGCATGCACGCAATGACTGATTCCTTGTTTTGAATTAGGGTGTGTTCTGAGGTCATTCTTGGGGTTTGAGATCTACACCGGTAGCTGTGGATATAGTTCCAGGGTAATTGGAAAGGGCTGAAAGAAAACATGTTCCATGTTCCAGTAAGAATAGTTCGTGTGAATTTAAGTCGATCTGGAGGTTGTTTTGGGGATTTGGGAGTATTCACGTCTTATCAGGGGCTAGACCTCAGCTAGACAGTCTGTGAAGTCCAGCCAAGCCACTGAGGGGAGGGGCCATACAGTCAACCCAGGTTCTCAGGCTGTTCTGGAACTCAATCTGCTTCTGGTAGAGATGCAGTTAGATAACCTTTGACATAGTACTTTTGTCAAGAGTTTTATTATGATAAACCTCTTGGGCTTAGGTCTCTGATAACATATTTCTGCTTTAGTACCCAGAGGGCATTGTTGAACATGGTTTTGTATCATAAGCCTTCAGAGAGGTTTGGAGAAACACTGAGCCAATAAAAACAGAACCTTTGCTAATGAAAGGGACTTCAGCTCCACTTATATTTTCTGATATTTGCCCTTCAATAAATAAGCTTATTACTATTCTCTCTTCCTCAGATTTCTTGGTATAGAGAACATAGGCTTCTTGTTTTAGAAGACTCACTGTAAATTCCTCTCTCACACATACGTTCCCACATAACCCACATAAATATTGAATTCAGTAGAACTTTATTGCCTAATTTGAGGAACTTCCTGGATATTAAGGTACACATTAAGAATTGAATATTAAAACTACAATAAATAATATAGCTTTATATATACACTGGTACCACTGTTGTTGCCTGGATAATTAAAACATTCAGTATTTTCAAAAGTTGCATGGATCTTTGTTACTATTTGTGGCGCTATTAGAAAGCAGTGTAAAAATATTGGAATGTCTTGCAGTTATATACTACTTTTTATTTTTGTTTATTGTTGTAGTTTAAATGAAGTTTACATTTCAAGTTAGTCTCCCATACAAAAATTTATGCATACATTGTTATGTGACCCTAATCACTCTCCCCATACTGTGACAGCACACTCTTCCTTTCCACCTCTGATTCCCCATGTCCATTCCGCCAGCTCCTAGCCCTCTCTGCCTTCCCATCTCACCTCCAGACAGAAGCTGCCCATTTAGTCTCTTGTAGCTACTTGAGCTAAGAGGCGCACTCCTCACGAGTATCACTTTATGTCCCACAGTCCAGTCTAATCCCTGTCTGAAGAGTTGGGCTCAGAAATTGTTTTATTTCTGAGCTGATAGAGAATCTGGGGGGCCATGCTTTCTGGGGTTCCTCCAGTCTCATTCAGACCATTAAGTATGGTCTTCTTACTAGAATTTGAGTTCTGCACCCCACTTTTCTCCTGCTCCATCCGGGACTCTCTGTTGTGTTCCCTGTCAGGGCGGTCATTTGCGGTAGCCATGCACCATCTAGTTCTTCTGGTCTCAGTCTGATGAAGTCTCTGGTTTATGTGGCTCTTTCTGTCTCTTGGGCTGATACTTTCCTTGTGTCTTTGGTGTTCTT